ATTGGGAACAGAAAGCAGCAAGGGCCAGCTATGTTTAGACAAGATGGAGCTGATGTGGACATCTGGTGAACCATGGGTCAGCACAAAATGACTGATGCCACGTGTCTGGGGAACCCCAAAAGTAAACAGTGACGTACTCTGCTGTGTAACTATTCCTCACAGAATGTCATTTTTGTGTGAATTCTGTATAAATATGGCCTTGAGGTCAGAGACCTAAGCTTCTCACCTCCATCTCTGCCAGCCTGCCTGTTTGTCTGTACCTGTGTTTGTCTACTTCCACGTGGCCTGTGTAGCAATCTGTGTTTGTGCTTTTGCCTGCCTGTGTGTGGCTCATGTGTGACACTATGTGCCTGTGCGCCAGCCAGCAGCTACTTGCCTGGTGAACCCTGGGCTGGTGAATTAAGTGTACACTGTGTGCCTGTAGCTCCTCACATCTCTCCTCACTCCCAACCCTCAACTCCCAGCCTTTGTGACCCTCCTCTGTTCCTGCCTTCAGAGTGTGGGCCTCACATGCAGCAATATACCCAACAAAGAAAGTAAATAATCTCTACAGTATAAAGTTGCAAAATTCTAGTGAAGCATATTGAAGTGGACACACACACACGACCATGTTCGTGGATTAGAAGAATTACCATTGCTAAAATATCACGCTGTCCAAGATGATGTATGGATTAAATATAACAGCCATGAAAATACCAATGTTATTACTCCTAGAGATAGAAAAATAATTCTAAATCCATATGTAACCACCATCAGATTCTAAATCCAGGGCTGGAGAGATGGTTCAGCAGTTGAAAAGGACTTGTTGTTCTCCCAAGACACTTAAGTTCAGTTCCCCCCTCCCACATAGTTGCTCACAACTGCCTGTAACCACAGCATCACGGTAACCAATTTTCTCTTCACGCTTCTTTGGATATGCACAAACCCATGACACATACACACACACACACATGTGAAAATCAAATCTTTAAAAAAAAAAAGTCCTGAGTTCAACTGCAAAGCAATTGTGAGCAAAAGACCATGAGCCATCAAAACAAATTTCACACTTACAGCAAAGCAGCATAGCACCAATATGAAATAGCACACTGACCTATGTAGCAGAAGGGAGAACCCAGGATTGAATGCACATGGTTACAGCCAACTCATCTTTAACAAAGGCAAAAAACATACACTGAAAGAAAAAACAGTCTCTTCAATAAAAGGTACCGAGGAACCTGGAGAGCTGCATTCAGACAAAAGAACCTACACCCAGGCCTCTCACCACACGGAAAAATCAATCCCAAACGGAACAAAGGTAGAACTGTGAAACACTTAGAATTTGTTAATATTGCCTTTTGTTTTGTTTTGTTTTATATGTCCCAGAAGCACAGACAGCAAAAGGCAAAAGTAATAAGTGGGCTTACATCAAAGTAAGACTGTTTTGTATATTATTGAGATATTTAATAGAGCAAAAAGACAAACTACACAATGAGAGGAATACCTACATGCTCCTCAGACCAAAGAGAAATATCCAAGATCAGGAAATATGTATCAGGAAAATCAAAACAAAACAAATATATAAATATAGAGACAGAATAAATATATATAAAGATGCATTCTTTATATAACAGAATATATTACATATATTTATTTTATGTACATAATACATATTTAATTATACATAATAAATTTTAAATAGTGAATATGTAATTTATTGTATTATATAATAAATATATAATATATAGTAAATATAATTACATGTGTTTATTTTATATGCATAAAATATTTATTATATCATATATAGCAAATTGTATATTATATATTAAATATATAATGTATAATTATTATATGATATATTATCATATAATGTATGTTATATATTGCATAATGTATTATATGTGTAATATATAAAGAATATCTTTATATAGAATATATAAAGAATATATAATTTATTATATATTTATTTATAAAGAATAGCCTGAAGCCATGAATAGAAAGCTTTATAACAGAGAAGATTTACTAAGAGATGAGAGTATATGAAAAAAATGCCTATAAGGAGATCTGGCTCTGAACTGTCATCTGGCTTCCCAGTACTTCACACAGTCTACTCTACATGGGGTCCTGAGCACAGAGCACACACTTCTCCCACTACACTCTAAGTGTCATGAGGACAAGGGCATTGACTCTTTGAGTCTCCGAACTTCCTTTGCCTGACAGGTGCCCAGTGAAGAGACACTCACTGAATGAAGATTTGACTGAGCGCAAGCAGTTGTTTATTTAACACAATGCTTCCTGAGTACTGTTCCTCACACAAGGCAAACGGTGCACGTGGAAGGGCCCAGCAGACATCTGTTATATAAACCTAGCCACAGGCCTTGAACTTACAAATGCTCTGCACCAGGTGGAGAAGCAGTCGTCAGCTCTGCTGAGCTCTGATCCTCTGGCATATGGGGGTGGGGGAGGAGAGTCCGCCCCCTAGTGAAGATGACAGAAGGCACGAGGGGCTGCAGTGGTCACACTTCACAGAGTGTCCTATCCAGTAAAGACCTTTAGAGGCCGTCAACTTGAAGTCCTCTAAAGTACAACCTGTAGTTAGCAAGAGTTACTTGTCAAGACTACAGAGAAAGGAAAGTCCGTCCTACAGAGGGTAACTAGCCCAAATGGCTAAGGTGTTGGAGAACCCCATCTTACACACGTCTCGTGTCCAGCTATTCTCTCCAGCTTCTGAACCTGGGGTAGTTTTTTAAACCTAAATGCCTTAAGCTTGATAATAATAATAATAAATAATAATCAAGGAGGGAGGAAACTCACCAAGTACAAAAGGTCACGGGCTCAGCCCGGATCACACATATGAGCTCACACCCTCTATAGAGAGCCCACTGCATCACACACACACACACACACACACACACACACACACACACGAGAAAGAGGGGGGGATTTTCATGCCTGCTCCGGTGTTCTATTTATCCTGGAAAGATGGAAAGAACTACCCAGGAAATAAATTAATTTAATACTGCACTTAAAAAACGTCTTGAAGCCCATCCATAACAGAGCAACAGTAACTAAGGAAATAGAGCACACTCAATGGAAAAACACCCCCACAGGAAGGGACATTTTTAAAAACATAAACACTCTCAAAACTGAACCAAATAAGTTGTAGAATAAGTCTGCCTTGGTAGCTGTTCATAAAAACTCATGTGAAAATACAGTCCTCCAGGGATTCATTCAAGAACAAAAACCTAACTTCATTTTTCTTTTAGCTTTCCTGTCCCCCCTCCCCCAGAAATACGTGATAAAAACAGATATGCAGTCCAGGAAGTAGGAAGGTCACACAGTGGGCACGGGGGCCAGAGCCCAACAGAGAAGTGGCAAATCCTTTCTTTCGAAATCAAGTTAACATTCAAAAAAAATTATAGCATACAAAGAATCAA